TAGATTCTGGAATTTTTTCTACTTCAGCAGCTTATGATTTCTTCAGGTTGAAGGGGGGACTTCTTCTTTGGTCCAGAACGGTTTAGGATGGTTCCATCACTCCCAAACACGCGTTTATTTTATGGTTAGCTGCCCATTCTAAGCTCCAGACAAGGGACAAGCTATTGCACTTGGAGATGGACCGAATCTGCTCACTGTGTGAGGTGCTGGACGAATCTGTCCAGCACTTGTTTTTTCGATGCCGGGTCACTTCCGAAGTATGGAAACAGATCAGATTTTGGTTGGGTATTAAGGCGGTCCATGTCTACTTTGCTGAGCTCTTTTAAATGGTTGAAAAAAGAAGTACGGGGGATGAGTTGGCCGAGCCGTGCTAAACGAATTGCTTTTGCTACTACTGTCTACTACATTTGGATGGCTAGGAATTGTTGTGTTTTTTATGGTACGAAAGTGCAAGTTGAATCCATTGTTAGGAAAATCAAAACACACGTATACAAAGTTATGTTCGTTTTGTATCCGAATGTTTTGATTCTCTTGCTGCTGGGGTTTATTAGTGTTTTCATCATCTTGTATCTTTTTGCCACGAGTATGCCTTGTGGTATTGTTTTGTTCTTTCATGTGATATCTCGAGTATGCCTGGCTTACTTGTATATGGTTTTTGATCTATAGAAATTCACATTTACCGATCAAAAAAATAATAATAGTAAATAGAAAGAGCTCTCAGTCTGTCAATCTTTACTATGTCTGAACTTGGTAAATTTCCCCATATTGAGTCAAATTAAGCCGCAGGCTCCACTCCTAGTGTTGTCCTTCCATCAATTCCTTTAAATTTCTGTCTTGCAACCATACTCCTTCCAGAACCCAAAAACTTTGATTCCCTTTAAGGTCCCATGCAGAGTCCCATAAGCAACATCCATCAATCCCTAGTCGGCAGCATTTATGGTTGATACTAGGACGGCATCTAATTGTCTTCGAGCCCCCAACTTTTGTTCTTGATTAATGAAAACATCATTAGCAAATGATTTCGCAGTTGTTCATCTTTCATAAATCTAAGAATTTCACCTCTGATTATAAAATACAAATGTCTTCGACTGACCCTATTAATCATTACTTCGATCCTGAAGGCCAATGTAATAGAACCGAAATCCTATAATGTTATCCCATACTAATGTATCCAGAGCGTAGACTTGCTTTGAGCACTCTAATTTCTTCAAAGTAACAGCGCCGGAGACACGACCCAACCAATTAAGGTCAGAAGCGCATCGTCAACAGAAGGGACGAGACGACTGGTGCACATCATAAGCAGACCAACCGACCCAACCCAAGGTCCAACTATGAGCTTTTTAACTGCAACAACTTAAATATATGCTATTGGAGTTGGAATTATTGCGACTGCTGGCATCAGACTTGCCCTCCAATGGATCCTCGTTAAGGGATTTAGATTGTACTAATTCCAATTACCAAACTCTCAAAGCCCGGTATTATTATTTAATGTCACTACCTCCTCGTGTCATGATTGGGTAATTTGCACGCCTCCTACCTTCCTTGGGTGCGGTAGCCGTTTATCAGGCCCCTTCTCCGAAATCGTACCTTAATTCTCCATCACCCATTACCACCATAGTAGGCCACCATCCTACCATCGAAAGTTGATAGGGCAGAAATTTGAATGATACGTCGCTGGCATGAGGGCCGTGCGATCCGTCGAGTTATCATGAATCGTCACGTCAATGAACGAAGCTCGCATCGACCTTTTATCTAATAAATGCATCCCTTCCGAAAGTCGGGGTTTGTTGCACGTATTAGCTCTAGAATTACTACGGTCATCCGAGTAGCAAGTATCATCAAACAAACTATAACTGATTTAATGAGTTATTCGCTGTTTCACAGTCTGAATTAATTCATACTTACACATGCATAGCTTCGTCTTTGAGACAAGCAATGACTACAGGCAAGATCAACCAGGTAGCATTCCTCTTCGATGTCGACATCGCACAGACGAAGGTCCGAGGCGAGGAAGAACATCATTCGCATGGAGCGTAGAACGCTTGTTCGGGGGTAATCGAAGGATCCACGTTCTCGTACCCCCTCAGTATTTTGCATCCAAAATTCGAGCACGCCGTCGTGGCCCGAGTCCCGCACTTTTTTATTGCGAACATGGTGGAATACGATGTACGCTTTTTGGTTCACCATCGTCCACGGATGTTACTCCCGACGTCCGGCAAAATAGGGTCGTTTCAGGCAACGAATACTATCGCAACTGGTATGCAGCACAGGGAACCGAGAATGAGATGATCGAACCCGAGAATCGACCACCCAATGAACATGCATGAAGAGGACGTTATCGCTGCCCGAGCACGGATTCAACGTACTCGAACACGCTAATTGCAACTCACGTGCTTTACGTATACGATGCCCAAGTAAAGCGCACCGCATGTTCGCCAACCCAAAAGTTCACAAACAAGCGACGTGCTAAGCCCAAGCATGTCCCACTATGCACAGTTACAAATTATCGAGAAACCAATCGAATTTTGTCGTGCAACGACGATCATGATTGCGTGCACCTACTACATTGCCCAACACGCCGGGCCCGAAGGGCATCGCACGCGTGGAACAATGTTTTTTTGGTGCCCACGTTTTGCTTATCCCTCGACGGGAGGCAAGCGAGGAAACGAAGCAGAGAAGACCGAGATGGATTCAGTCATGGCACACACGGGAAGCCTGCATTGGCAGGGAGTCGGAACGTGCCGCCAGAGTCCACAATGCGGTGATGGTCACAGTCACGAGCACTTACTACAATGCCTTGCACGTCGCGCCCAAGGGCATAACGCGCGTGCACACACATTTATATAGGCTTGTTGGGTAGTGATTATGATAATTGATATTTTTATCGTTAGAGAGAAAAATAGTCTCACTCGTGAGTGAAGAAGTCAAAAATAATAGCTGAACTAAAATAACTGTCAAAAAAATTAATTTTTTTTGGTGAAAAACTGCTATCAAACATGCACGTAGTTTTTTGTTATTAAAAAATAAACATATATTTTATAATCAATGAACTATAACTATAAAATGAATAAATATATATATATAGTCAAATTGTGATTTAAAATAGGACAATATCGTTAGTTTTAGCACTAAGAAAATTTCACAAATTTTAAAAAATTTGATTTGAATTTTAAAATATGTATAAAAAATCGACCAAATCGAATCGCTTACACTCATAACTAATATGGCGTGTTACAAATCCCATTGACTCTGGTCTGAGTAACATCTGAAGGCCCATAATAATGTTCTACTTGCCCATTTAAAGGACCCTCCTAATTTACATAGATTAATTGTGAGGCCCAATAAGCATTTTATCACGCGGAAATCTCTACAACCTCATATTTCATCAATCCTCTTACAACCGAAGATTACTACTGCTTTGTAATTGACATTTTTTCATTTATGAATATAAAATAATTAAGCAGTAGTTTATGTGACGTTATAAATTTATTTGTATCCACGAAGTTTAAAATAAAATATTAATTTATTTTTCTGATTGAAATTATGTTATTGAAGGAGCTAATCATTTTATTTTATTTTTTGAAATTTTCAATTACTAACTAGGCAAACGTTATTATTATTATTATTTATGTTAGCTCTATTGTACAATGGGATGAAATTCTAAATAAAAGTCTGTACGGATGATTGAACTATCCAATTCCAAAGAAAAACTCTTAAACGGCAAACAACCAATTTAGAGCACATCTAAAAGATTTTAAATACAAAATGCTCTCTATTTTAAAGAGTTTATTCTTAAAAGAAGTTTCAAAATACTCTCTATATTAACTTTTTAAAATAGAGATGGGATTAGACATTTGACATTAACCCGAACATAATTAATATTTGCATATAACGAGAAAATAGTTTCAAGATTGAAAGTAATTCATAGTTATTACTTATTGCTAAGAATGTTCGAATAATTCTCCACTATATACTAAAATGACAATGAAACTTCATTTTTGACCAATGATTATTACGTATTTAATTATCTTCAAAGTTTGATCACTGATTGAGTTGATTTTGCAATTTATTTGCTTCCAAGGGGTCAAATAATAGGTTTAGCACATTGAGATTATCGTATAAAGCTCGATATATGGTAGAGATATACACTTACTTTATGCAGTCATTATTTGAATATTCTTGTTTCTTCAAGCATTTTTGCATATTCACATCATTCATAGAGCTAACGTAAGGTCGCATGTAAAAATTAATTTCATTCGGCTTGGTAAAGATTATTGAACCCATTTGAAAAATTAATCATCAAATTCTGCACTATCGATGAGGGAATTGAGGTTAAAAGTGGGAAAAAAAGAGCTGAATTCCCAATCCTGAACGCTTCATTATATTGTGTTGTTCTCCAAGGCTTATCAAATCGCTTTTATATGCTTATTTTGCTAATTTAGAAATCATAGTTAAAAAAAATAAAAATTGCTGAAATTCATGAATTTGATTAAAGTTAGTTTTAGTTGAATCAACGTTAAAAACAAAATCCTCGTGAAAACAATACTTTGCTCACACTTTATTATTTATCTACAATATGGTGAAAAATAATAATAATAATAATAATACTAACTCAGATAATCATAGATTTAATACAATTTTTCCCACGTATGATATAAAATATATATTTGTCCAAAAGCACAAGAATTAAAATATAGCCGTATTATTCTAATAATTACTAGCTTAATCTTTTTTAAAAATACATACAATATTTTTGTATTTCCAAGCCTCAATTATAGCACAAGAATGTTAGACCAAACAAAATTTTCACAAACATAGACATTTATATGTTAGTGTAGGGTAGGAGTGCTAAAATTTATGAATTTCTTCTTGAGTTTTTTGCCAAATTTTGTATTGAACATGAAAATCTGACAAATTATTCTCCTTATCTCTTGTTTAAGACACTTCACTGACAGGAAAATTTTGATTTTATTGGACATACTCCTAATCTACCAGATTCATAAACAAACACCAGTTAACACCATGTATAACAACAAATGGGGCAAAACCAATCTGGTAAAAACGAAGTTACAGATTGTTGAGCAAATTTATATATCATATTACTGAAATTTAAATTCTATATCCACTGTCTGGTTAAGAAAGTGTAACAAGAAGAAAGCCAATGAATGGAATCTCTAACACAAAACATACCGGTAACAGTCAGATTTTCAGCCTCGACCACATCACAGCAATCATCCATCCCTTGTCTAGCCACCTCCAGATTTAAGTGTATTACTCAACCTATTTAACAGACATGAAGTAAGAAGAGAGATAAGCGAAGTAGTATTCAACAGCGACTGACATTTACAGCATGAACTTCTAAAGAGATGCATTCTTCCATCAAAAAGAGAAGGATAGAGATAATGTACCCAGAAAAAAGTTACAATAGAATACTCTTTACAACTTGAGCAGATTGATGATTACGATATAACTCATAATTTTATTAATAACACCATACAACTTCAGTCGAGCGAGTCAAACAATGAGTTCCATTTCTTATTTTCTTTTATTTACTTTTACACTCGGTTTTTCAAAAAATGAAAATGCTTAGAGATAGTGGGATCAGGATATGAACTTATCCAGACAGAAGATGTCAGTCCGATTACCATTATAAGAAGAGGTATGAAAGTAAAAGTGCAGGATTCAAAGTACTAAGAATAAATGGATAAAAAAGGGTATGATATCTATAAGATCAATTAGCTGAGCTTTACCAGTCCAAGCCCTCAAACAGCCCTTCTCCTTTTATGGCAGACGTTTTGAAAATAGCCCATTGGCGGTTTTTAATCTTGTGCAACTCCAAGGCCTCAGTCACTGCAGCATCATCAAGTGCACCAGGAAGATCCTGCAAATAAGGCAACAAATGTGATCCCAATTGTTTGTGTCACTAAATGTGTTCATGTGATGTGATGATGCTGGTGGACCTGGGTCCAGAGGGTTTTGGAAGGTGCGACTGGAATGGTTTGAAACAGAAGTCTAAAGAATCAGAAAGATCTTCAACATACTATAGTGCCTTTTAGAATACATTAAAGACAAGCTAATTAATTCTTTCAGAGAGAGCAAGAGGGTAATAACACAAACCTGCTTATTTGCATATATGAGGACAACAGCACCTTTTAACTCTTCCTCCTGCAAGAGCACATCGTATTTTAAGCTACTGTTAGGGTTGAGAGCAACAAAGGCAAGCGAGGAATCAAAAACTTGTGACACAACACTATACTGGCAATTGTTTTCCTTTTGGAATGGCCAAAGTGAAAAAAGACCTTCACATTTTCTTTTATCAAACAGATGTCAATTTTGGAAGGCTGAGAGACATCTTCAGTTTTCTTTATTTTCCAAAGTAGGTAACCTCGTAAGTCACAAAGATTCTGAGCTGATATTTTGGATATATTGATGGGTAGCTGTGAATGCTAAGTTATATAGCAGGTCTTTTGAGCCTATAAACTGTTTGATGAACTCGGGATCAAAAGAGCTGGGTGGATGGAGGGTTGGGGGAACCCCACTGCCTATAGAGCAATTTTTAATATTGTTTATTGCTCTATGCACTCCTGAAATTTCTAAACCTTCTAGTTCACATCACATGTTTCTCCAAACACTAAAAAATAATTATCTAAATGATACTATTCAATTAGAAAATCAAAAAGGACAAAATGGTCTGTAAGTTGATAATAAAAATGGACACAGGAACAGCAAGGCAAGAACAAGAGGATAAAGGAAGACAGGTATGTGGCTTTAGAACTAGCAACATGATAGAAGATTTTCCCTCTTATTTTGGTATGAAGCGCATCTAAAAAAATGCAGCTACCTTATGCAGGATAAAAGCATTCAAGAAGGTAGGACAGCCATGATTTCTGTTGTGATTTGATAATTCAATCAGACTTTTCATCATTTCTCATGCAGGTCCCATATTGACATTGGAAATGCATTGTAATATGGATGCGACTACCTTAAATATGCCCTACTTTTCTTTCTCGCAGTTTTCCATTGGCTTCCAAGGTCCAATCATAATGAATGCGCATAAGATAAATATGCACAGCATGCTCTGTTATACTTCAGCTTATCTGTTAAGCTACCATTATCAAATACCCTTGAAATGTAACACAAAAAAATGCAATATCCCAAAACTTCAACCACCTTTCAGTTGAAAGATTTATTAAAGATAGAAACAATAAAAGTGACCGAACCTCCAATATTGCGTGAAATTCCTCTTTGGCAACCACCAGCCTATCAGTATCACTTGAATCAACCACATAGATTATGGCTTGAGTATTGGGAAAGTAGCACCTCCAATATGGCCTGAGCAGAAAAACACATATTGGTGAACTGTTGACATAGATGTAGAAATAGCAATTAATGAGAGTAAAATAATCAAGAGAGAAGTCTTCAAGTCCCTCACAAAGAGGTGGTGATAGAAAAATTCCCAATTATTCTGGCACTATGCAGACTTTGTTAAAGCAAGGATGAGATGATAAGAACACAAGCATCCTCCTCTGGGAAAATGGTTGAACTACTGTCAAGGAATATAATTTTGACATGCACTATGATAAGCCTCCCATACGGTTCACTTATCAACAACATCACAAGAAGAGCGTGGAAGGAAGTTAAAGGGAATATTACTCGTTAGATCTATTGAGTCACGGTTGTTATGAGCCTATAAATAGTGTAGGAGAGTGCTTGAATATTCATTCAGAAAAGAGGAAAGGTCTGAATCATTTGAAGAGAGGCGACTCTCGAAACCTGCCTTGTTATTTCTTTTCAATTTAGTCCGTTGTTCAGTTTCTTGTTCAATCAAATAAATTCTTCTTAAATTCTGATTGTGTGAGGTCTAATTCAACTGAATTTGTTGCATCTGGGCAAGTTAATTTTCTCAGTCTAAGCAGGTCCTATCATTTGGTATCAGAGCACCTGAGATTCTGGGGAGCGAATGCCGGTTACCAGGATGGACAACCGAATCGAGGCATTGGAGAATGCAGTAGCACAGATTCCACCCTTGGATACTTCCGTGGTCGAATTGAAGGGAGACTTGGAACACTTGAACGCGAGACTGGGTATGGAGCTTGGCAAATTGAATGAAAAGATCGAAGCCTGCATTGGGCCGGAAGGAATTGAACGAGGGGCTTCAAATGATAGCAAAGACGATCAAGGGGATACAACAGGAATCCTCTAGCATGACAGAGGAAAGAAGCGAAATGAAATCGACTGCCTCTATCACTGAAATTACTGAACCAGAGCCCAGAGCCACTGAAAAGATAGCCGTTCCCGCTCCTAAAGGTAACTTTCTGAAGCTGGAATTACCACTATTCAATGGGGTCGATCCGGACTCGTGGATATTCAAGACTGAAAGGTATTTCAGCATGAATAAGCTAACGGATGCTGAGAAAGTGGTGGCAGCTGGGGTGTGTATGGAAGGAAGTGCTCTATCCTGATTCCAATGGGAAGATGGAAGGCGGCCTATACGAAGTTGGGTGGAACTTAGGAAAGGTTTCGAGATACCCAGCATGGAACCTTGCACCAACGGTTCCTTACGATCAGGCAGACAGGAACTGTTGCAGAGTATAGGGAAAAGTTTGAAGTGATGTCGGCACCCCTGAAGAATGTAAGTGAGGACACACTAGAAAGGGTCTTCATTAACGGGCTAGAAGAGGAAGTGCAGGCAGAGGTGTTAATGGCAAGACCGGCAAGATTTTCAGAAATCATCAATATGGCACAATGGGTGGAGGGTAGGAACAATAGGATCAACAAAGTGAAGGAACGGGAGCGACCACGAATCAGGAGTGTAACTACTCCAATTCCGGTGAGGGTCGAGCATTGGACAGTTCCTAGAGCATGAGTAAGGGAACGAATGTGCAGGGCAAAGGTGGAGGAATGAATTCGGCAAGCACCACTGTTGGGTTCAACAGGTTGTCCCAGGCTGAGATTCAAGCAAAAAAGGACAAGGGCTTATGTTTTCGATGCGATGAGAAGTTCAATATCGGGCATAAGTGCTGCAACAGGGAACTACAAGTGTTGTTGGTAGAAGACGAAGAAGAACAATACGAGGCAAGAGGGGAGTGCTCCGAGGAGATCGCGGATTGTAACGAACTGAGGGTGTAGAGTTATCGATGAACTCTGTTGTTGGGTTGACCTCACGTAAGACTATGAAGGTGAGAGGTACCGTGGAAGGGCAGGATGTAGTGATACTGATTGACTCCGGTGCTACGCACAACTTCATGTTGTGGGAATTGATTAGGAAGCTCAATCTACCAATAACAAAGACCAATGGATATAGGGTACAAGTGGGTACTGGTATGGTAGTTAAAGGAAAAGGGAAATGTAGGGGAGTAGGATTATACATGCAGTCCGTATTAGTGGTGGAGGACTATTTACCTATAGACTTGGGCAGCTTGGATATAATACTGGGAATGCAATAGCTTAGCACCTTTGGCAGGGTTCAAGTTAACTGGAAGTCATTGAAGATGAAAATGCCTCTGGGGAATAGCACTGTTACATTAAAAGGAGAAGAAGGGCTAA